CATCCGAGAAACAACTTGAGAGTGGATAACCCAGTTTTGGTGAAACTTTATATTGGAAAATTTTAAGGAAAATTATCATTCCATTTCAATTTTCAGTTAGGTCAGAAAATTTTAATGGCCACTTAACACAAAAGCACATACAATTTCCAACCTTATCCATGACAGAAAACAGTTAACTAAGTTACTAAGGCTAGTTGGGGAGTGGAGCGATGTCATCACGACCCTGAGCACACAAAGGTCACTGACCCCAAAAAACTATGACATCACTGGCACCATTTGCAAAGGTGAGGGTAAAATTCTGATAAAGTCATCAGAACTGTTATTCTGTGCATACAATTTTCAACTTGTTATTTATCTTAAATTTGACTTCCAATATATAATTTTATCACCTTTACAGAACAGAACACTACGCGCTGAATTTCATTTTCCACAGTGACTTACTGATTATAATATTTCAAACACAAAAATGTGCAGGGAAAGTTATCAAGTAAGACTTCTGGGCAACTTCCATTTAAAATAAAAAACTTTGTGATTCATAAACACACACCAAACAAACACAATGGTAAAACATTGCCACATCACCTGAAACAATTCAAAACGTAAAACTTTCACTGTGTGTGCGTGTGCACGCACATGTGTAATTGCCCTGATGATGGAAGCAGCAAGTACTTCCAAAACAATAATAAACTTCTACCAGACTATACAGCACTACAACCAATCAGACAGCCATCTTCAGGATAGGAACCAAAAAGAAGTTATGTTGTATTTCTACCTGAACTCAAATGTAGAGCCAGTCCCTAATATTTGTCTATTGAGACAGGGTAAATTCCCAAATAAAATACTGCATTATATTAGAAAATACAAACCTTTAGAATCACCAATGAATTTTCAGTGTAAATAATGTTCTACTGTGCAGGAGATTCGTAGTCAGGGCAGTGCTTCAAACTGAGAATGAGGGAGGAGGGAAGGAGCAATAATGCGAGGGTCGAGTTCACTTAGGGGCACTGCTTACTGCCACCTGACGGCAGCCATGCAGAGCAGAACCAACCAACTTAACAACTTCTTAATATACAAGATATTATTTACAAAACGTTACTTCTTGAAGAGTTAATTTAATTGGAAATAACGCATAACGTGGTGTGCAGGTCTGACTGATTACTGTCAGTGCAGGAAACAGAGAACGAGAGAACACACATAAAATTACAAGTACTTGAAACATTTCAGTAATTGACTAAGTGATCACTGTCGTCATCATCATTGGTTTACTTACAGACACATCATCAACTGTCTAGGTCGTGTAGCATCAGACGACAAGGCAATTTGTGAAACGGAGAAGTTATGAAATGACATGTTCATAGCCACATTTTAACGTGCAACTCTGATATGCGCATAGTCACAGTGAGAGGACTATGTTTGACGTTGTACGGAAATCATCAAGATTTTTACTAGGAACTACGACACTTGCGTCATAAGCAAATTTGAACGTCGATTACATGTACTACATAAAGCAAGCAAGCAAACACCCTAGAATGTACCCTTTGGGAACTCCATGTTTTATTGTTCCCCAATTTGAAAAACAGATTGTTTTAGGTGATTTTACTACAACCTTTTGTTTTCTATCTGTTAAACAGGATCTGAAACAATTTTCAGCTATTCTGTAAATGCCATAAAAATGCAATTTAGTTAACAAAATTTTATGATTTTCACAGTCAAAAAAATGCTTTGACTAAATCACAGAAAATTCCTCCAACATGCATTTTTTGGTTAACAGATTTCAGTACACTGTTGATTCGAACGTCACATCTTCAGTGGATACAACTTTCCTGAAGCCTAATTGTTCTGGAACAAATATGTTGTTCGTATGAATATGACTTAACCTATTCTATGTAACCTTCTCAAGCACTCCAGGAAAAGTAGTCAATAGTGAAAAAAGCTTGTAGTTTGTCATACGAGTTTCATTGCCTTCATTGCGCAGTGATCTCGAAGTAAAAATCATACTTTCGAATATCCTACAAGTGGTGGTGACAAAAGGATGGAAAATTGTGAGGTGCTGTAATCTGATGCCGTAGTAGGGATTTGTTTGTTTACAACCATTACCATGGTTACCATTGGCATTCTTTGAATGTCTACCGTGGTTACTATGGTAATCGTGGTTTGCACTGAAGAAAGTGGAATCAGTCGAAGTGTTCGTGTATGTTAACATAATTTTTTGTTGGGACAGGTTAGGTTAGAACAGGTTAGAACACATTAGTTCCAGTTAGGTTAAATCAGTACTGTTATGGTAAGTTAGGTTTGTTTACTTAGTTTCAGTTCAAGAATTTTATGTCAAGAGACATGTTTAACATTAATTTTTAATGTCAGAATTCACAATGTGGGAATTATAAATTTCTTAATTCTAGATTTTAAAAATATCAAAATTGTGAATGTTAAACATTTCAAAAATTTGGAAGATTTGGAAACTTTTCAAATTTGTAAATCTGTTTCGTGACAAGACGGATGCATACCTTTAAATTCAGACTACAAAGAACGCATGATAATATGTGTATTCCAGTACAGAATACACTTTCGGAGCTTGTTACATCATAATGCGACAAATTGTTTGACTTGAGGGAGTGTAATTACTAAATTTAGATACCTTGCATCTTTCATCTTAAAATTTATTCCATATTACTTCCCTGATAAGAGGGCATACTGTAGGATAATCCTTCATGCAAAAGTTCATCGCCGTAACAAGAAAAGAATTTAAGAGATAAGGAAAAACGAGCATTCCTTGTCAAAACTTACCCAATCTTCCTGTATCCAGTCTATAAGATTCTGTTGGTCAGGATCTTCTCTGTAATGGATAATAAACGCTTGAAAGCCCCCGGTAGCTTGGTTCTTAATCTGAAATTATAATAGGGAACTCAATGAAAGAGAGAAATTATGGCTTCTAACGTCTTGTAGCCACAAAGATGTGCCCCCCCCCCAAAAGAAACACACACACACAAACACAAGACAAAAAGTAACGAAACACCCTATTTTAATTGAAGATTAAAAATATAAAAATGAATATGCAAACCTATATCTAAGAATGTATTAAACGTAGGTGGACAGTACATTTAAAATATTTCTGTAACATGTCTTCACCTACTTTGTACTTATGAACATTTTAAGTAAAAGCAAGGATAGCCATGGCCAAGGCAGCTTTCGTCAAGAAGAGGATACTTCTCACTAGCAAGTTGGGCTTGGAGATGAAG